TATGTAGGATTTTCCTGGGATTGTTTCCTATTTAATGCTTCCAAATCATTAGTTGTATCTGATGACTTACTTGGGGAAGTGTAGAGGGAGGGACAGTTAAGAGGACGCTGAAGGTGCATGTAAATATTGAAGGAAAATGTCTGGATTCCTTCTCAATTTAAGATCCTTTGAAATGAAGGTAGTGCACTATGGTGGGGGGGATATGTGGTTAACCAAGAGTTTTTCAAGCTTGTTTTCTAGATGTCTATGTCTGTGCCTAGAACTACATGTGCAGCACCTCTGCACAGGCAGAATATTCTTGCAAGAAACTAATAACTAGCTTTGTGGTGGGTGGTGAGGTAGTAGATTCTGAGTCACAATAGAATTTCCGGAGAGTTGATAATGCATTTGTGTATAATTATAGATTTGACTGTAAGGGGCCAGCCTATACAGTATGGTCAGATACCTTTAAACAGTGGTATTAACAAAGTATGGTGATTGTAGACTTTACTGAGCTCTGGGCCTAAGGAAACGAAGTAAAATCGCATGTTTGAGGGATGGCTCAGTGGTGTAGCAGTAATGCGCTGCTCAAGGGAACCTGAATTTTTATGGAAGATTGTGGGTTTGGTTCCCCAGTTTTCTTGTACACTGGGCACATGCAACCATGATCCTAACTGGCTGGGAGGACTAGGAAGGATTGTGTTGTAAGACCCAGTTCAAAGAACTTGTCTTTCTGTCTTCTCGTTCAGTAAATAAATAAATAAATAAATAAGCTTTAAAAAATTGCATGTTTGGGCCAGGAGGTGGTGGGGTGGTGAAGGCACTGGATTTCCACATCTGACCACGGTTCAAGTCTTGGACTTGGTGGCTTGCTTTCTCACTTTCCCTCTCTCCCTTTGGTGAATTAAATAATAAACAAAGAAACAAATAAATAAAATGAAATAAGTACTCCTTTAAAAAAATTGTGCATTTGAAATGTTGTTTAAGTATGCTGAAGACTTCCTTGCAGCATTTCTGTGATTAAACACAAAGTGTTAGAAATAGACTGTAACACCAGTTACTACAGTAGAACATACTTGCTTGTTGGAGTTAGTCTTCCACACTTAGGTAAAACATAGCCCTAAAGTTTTCCTTTTGATTCTCATTACTTGAAAAACGTGTTGGTTAAAAATGATCACTAACTTTGTGTTTTTTGAGCGTATCTTGGAGAATAAACAGAAAAGCTTGCATGAGAAAGGTTAAATTGTGGCCAGCATAGGGTGGGAAGCTTTTTCTTTTGTTTTGTTTTGCATTTGTCTTAGTTTTGTAAGTTGAAGTTAAAAAATAATTACCTTTCCCAACAGTGAGAAAACATTTAGGTTGGAGTATGACATTGACATTTGCCAAGGTTCTTCATATTTACAAAATGACTCCAACAAAATATATTGGTAGTTCCTTTCCTTAGAGCTTATCTTTCCATGTTGGAGATAAGGCAAGCAAAAATAGTTTCATACTTTGTGGCAGGAAAATAAATACAAAGATTTTAAAATATAAGTGGAGAGAGAGAGAGGGAGAGAGAATATAAATGAGAATACTGGGTCATCGGGAAAGTCATGGTGTATTCTTTTGTGTTTTCTATGCAAAAATCCATTATGATTCTTCTGACAACCCAATATATGTGAGGGCCGATTCAGGTCCCTTCTCTACTATTCTCTTCTTGGGATTTTGGATGCATGCACATGTGCCCAGTATGTTTTTCAAGTTGCCAGGTCCAGGACTCAAACCATGCAGTTAACCATGTGTGATACAGCCACCTTAACTACCATGCCACTGGTTGGCCCTGGCCTATACTTCTTTAATAGCTACAGTGAGGTGTAATTAACATCCCATTCACTTCAACCAATTAATTGTTTTTTAGTGTGCTCGTTTTTGTACAGACATTAACACAATCAATGTTAGAACATTTCATCACCTGATGGGACCAGCAGTTGGCGTAATGGCTATGTTGCTGGACTCCCATGTAGTTGACCGTGGTTCAAGTCCCGGACCTAGTGGCTTAAACTCACGCCAGGCGTATGTGCATGCGTGTCCAGGATCTCGAGAGGAGAATGGAGGAGAAAGGCTTGCGGTGGGGCCATCCTGTCTGGGGGGTGATTTCTCACTTTCTATCTCTGTCTCTCTCTGTCTTTCTGGCGAGCACATGCACCTTATAGTAAAAATCTCTCTCTCTCAAAAAAAGAACATTTCACTGCCTGAAAATAAAAGTGCTCCCATTAGCAGTCACTGCTCAGTTCTAGGCAACCGCTAATCTATTTTCTTTTGGTTTCCCTGTACCGAATATTTCAGATAAGTGGAATCATAAAATAGATGGTATTTTGTGAATGACTTCTTCACTTAGAGTAAGCTTCTTCCACATTGTAGCTGTATGAGTACTTTCTTATTGCTGAGTAATGTTCCATGTATAAATATACCACATTTATCCATTCATTGGTTGATTGCCACTTTTTTAGCTGTTATGAATATATAGATAATGCTGTATGAACATTTGTATGGACATAGGTTGTCATTAGGTGGAATTCTTAGGTTGTATGGTAACTTCCTTTAACCTTTTGAGAAACAGCCAAACTCTTGCAAAGTGACTGTCCTATTTTATATTCCTACCAGTAATGCATGAGGGTTCTACAATAATTTTTATGTATACTTGCCAACTCTTGTGTTATCTGTTTTTTTGGATCATATTTATCCTAGTGGGTGTGCAATGGCATCTCATTGTGTTTTTTTTTCCTATTGATTTCTTTCTTTGTTCATTAAAAAGTGCATGTGCCTGCATGTGAGCATGGGAGTAAGAGACATATGAAGACCTTCCACAGGGCCTGGTCACACTGTCATCCTCTTTCTTCAGTCCTCTAGGCATTGGATCTTGGGCACCTGTACCAGCTGTGTTTTTAAGAGGACTGGGCTTGAGATCGAAATTGTGGTTGCCAAGGAATCTGGCTTCTCTTAAGTAGTGTTACCACTGTACCACAGAGTTGGCTCTCGTTCTGGTTTTATTTGCATTTCCTCAGTGTCTAAAGATGTTGAGCATTTGTTCTGGTGCTTACTGGCCATTTTGGTATCTTTTACATTTTTTTGGAGATATCTATTTGGATTACTAACCCACTTAAAAAAGGATGATTTGTCTTATTATTGTTTTAGTTTTTGCTATAGGGTACATATGCTTGCCAGAGAGAAGTGGGGGTTGAGAAATCACCCCCACCAGAGGGACGGCCACCCTGTAATTCCTTCTTCTCCATTCTCCTCTCGGGATTTTGGGCATGCATGTACACATGCCCAGTGTGATTTTCAGGCCACTGGGTGCAGGACTTGAGCAGCTCAGTAGGCCATGTGGGGTCCATGCCTTAACCTCCATACCACTTGCTGGCCCATGTCCTACTATTATTTTTTTATTTTTATTTTTTGGAGAGTTTTTGTTTTGTTTTGTTATAGGGCATGTGGGCTCGCCAGAAAGATAGAGAGAGGCAGAGAGACAGAATGTGAGAGATCACCCCCCAGGGGGTATGGCCACGCCGCAATCCCTTCTCCTCTGTGCTCCTCTCAGGATCCTGGGCATGCATGCACACGCGCCTGGCATGAGTTTGAACCACTGGGTCTGGGACTCAAACTGCGGTCGACTACATGGGAGTCCAGCAACGTAGCCATTATGCCATATGCTGGTCCCTGTCCTACTGTTATTTTAAAAAGCTTATTTTATGAGAATGAGAGAGAGAGAGCAACAGACAAGCACCCTAAAATCTGATGCCATGATTCATCCCTGTCTGCTCTCCCAGTCAGTCAGGAACATGGGCAGCCGTGCACAGCATATACAGCTCTACCAGGGAACTGAACCCATGATCTTCCATGAATCCAGCATCAATCAGCATCAATCAGCAGTGTATTATCACTGTGCCATCTGCCCAGTGATAATAAAAAGACAGCTAGCCCTGTCTTTTTATTACATCTGCTCCTCAATTAATGACCTTCCTGTTGATCTACCACTCAGATTTATGACCAGTTCTCCAGCATGGGGAAAAATTCTGTGTGAGTCTTGAGAGAATCCCCTTTCTCAATCTTTTTCTCATTAGTAGATGGTTACAGTTTACTACATGAAGTGTTCACAGTCACGCAGCACTACATATTTCATTTATAAATTTGTACTTTATTGTGTACCCATAGTAGTATTCAGAATAAATAAAAATGATTACACCAGATTTATATTACTGTGTTATGGTATGTCTTTTTGCTTTCTGGGGCTTACCTAATGTAAATAGATGTAAATTTTTGTGTAAATAGAATTACATTATTCTAGTGTGGTATCACATGATACCTTGTGAAAGGTAAATACCCAGTGGCACCACAGCACATCACAAGACATCTGCCTCTAAGCGCCTCTGTTATCGACCGATTTGCTAATGACCTAGTTATAGGAATGGAACTCGATCATTAAGTCAGGAGTACCTGTATAAAGTTGAGAGTTCTCTTTATATCTGCTGCAGGTTTCCTGTTAGGTGTATGATTACAACTTTTAAAATTTAAACTGGTATTTATTTACTTATTATTTTTTAAATTTAAATTTGCTACAGAGTGCATGTGCTTGCCAGAGAGAGAGAGAGAGAGAGAGAGAAAGTGAGAAATTCCCTCTTGTGGAATGGCCATTATGCCATTCTTTCTCCTCCATTTTCTTCTTGGGATTTTGGGCGCACACATTGTTTTTCCAAGTCATGGGGTCTGGGACTTAAACTGTGCTGTTGGCCATGTGGGATTTGATTCAGGTGCCTTAACTACTACACCACCTAGCTGGCCCAAGTGTTGGATTTTTGTCAAATGCTTTTTTTGAAACAAATTACTTAAAAAACAAACAAACAAAAACAAAACAAAACAAACGTATTTTTTCTCATTTTTTTTTTCCTCATTTGCAGAACTTGACTTACATACCAAATGTGTGGTGGATGTTGAAGCAAACAAGGTTATTCTGAGTCCTATGAATACTAATCTTTCCAAAGGAGATGCCCGGTAAGTTAAGAAACTGTTATACTAAATGGATTTTTAAATAAGCAGAAGCAGCAGTTGCTACTGAATTTGAGTTTAATTGAACACTGAATGCTTATATTGTAGAGACGTCATACTGTCTTCTACGAGTCTGTACTCTGGTTGATGAATGGACTCCCACAGTGGCTCAAAAGTCCCGCTGGGTATGTGCATATGCACACCCAAAATCCCAGGAGGAGAATAGAAGAGAAGGGATTGTGGTGTGGCCATCTCCCCTGGGGGGTGCTTTCTCACTTTCTATCTCTGTCTCTCTCTGTCTTTCTGGCGAGCACATGCACCTTATAGTAAAAATCTCTCTCTCTCAAAAAAAGAACATTTCACTGCCTGAAAATAAAAGTGCTCCCATTAGCAGTCACTGCTCAGTTCTAGGCAACCGCTAATCTATTTTCTTTTGGTTTCCCTGTACCGAATATTTCAGATAAGTGGAATCATAAAATAGATGGTATTTTGTGAATGACTTCTTCACTTAGAGTAAGCTTCTTCCACATTGTAGCTGTATGAGTACTTTCTTATTGCTGAGTAATGTTCCATGTATAAATATACCACATTTATCCATTCATTGGTTGATTGCCACTTTTTTAGCTGTTATGAATATATAGATAATGCTGTATGAACATTTGTATGGACATAGGTTGTCATTAGGTGGAATTCTTAGGTTGTATGGTAACTTCCTTTAACCTTTTGAGAAACAGCCAAACTCTTGCAAAGTGACTGTCCTATTTTATATTCCTACCAGTAATGCATGAGGGTTCTACAATAATTTTTATGTATACTTGCCAACTCTTGTGTTATCTGTTTTTTTGGATCATATTTATCCTAGTGGGTGTGCAATGGCATCTCATTGTGTTTTTTTTTTCCTATTGATTTCTTTCTTTGTTCATTAAAAAGTGCATGTGCCTGCATGTGAGCATGGGAGTAAGAGACATATGAAGACCTTCCACAGGGCCTGGTCACACTGTCATCCTCTTTCTTCAGTCCTCTAGGCATTGGATCTTGGGCACCTGTACCAGCTGTGTTTTTAAGAGGACTGGGCTTGAGATCGAAATTGTGGTTGCCAAGGAATCTGGCTTCTCTTAAGTAGTGTTACCACTGTACCACAGAGTTGGCTCTCGTTCTGGTTTTATTTGCATTTCCTCAGTGTCTAAAGATGTTGAGCATTTGTTCTGGTGCTTACTGGCCATTTTGGTATCTTTTACATTTTTTTGGAGATATCTATTTGGATTACTAACCCACTTAAAAAAGGATGATTTGTCTTATTATTGTTTTAGTTTTTGCTATAGGGTACATATGCTTGCCAGAGAGAAGTGGGGGTTGAGAAATCACCCCCACCAGAGGGACGGCCACCCTGTAATTCCTTCTTCTCCATTCTCCTCTCGGGATTTTGGGCATGCATGTACACATGCCCAGTGTGATTTTCAGGCCACTGGGTGCAGGACTTGAGCAGCTCAGTAGGCCATGTGGGGTCCATGCCTTAACCTCCATACCACTTGCTGGCCCATGTCCTACTATTATTTTTTTATTTTTATTTTTTGGAGAGTTTTTGTTTTGTTTTGTTATAGGGCATGTGGGCTCGCCAGAAAGATAGAGAGAGGCAGAGAGACAGAATGTGAGAGATCACCCCCCAGGGGGTATGGCCACACCGCAATCCCTTCACCTCTGTTCTCCTCTCAGGATCCTGGGCATGCATGCACACGCGCCTGGCATGAGTTTCAACCACTGGGTCTGGGACTCAAACTGCGGTCGACTACATGGGAGTCCAGCAACGTAGCCATTATGCCATATGCTGGTCCCTGTCCTACTGTTATTTTAAAAAGCTTATTTTATGAGAATGAGAGAGAGAGAGCAACAGACAAGCACCCTAAAATCTGATGCCATGATTCATCCCTGTCTGCTCTCCCAGTCAGTCAGGAACATGGGCAGCCGTGCACAGCATATACAGCTCTACCAGGGAACTGAACCCATGATCTTCCATGAATCCAGCATCAATCAGCATCAATCAGCAGTGTATTATCACTGTGCCATCTGCCCAGTGATAATAAAAAGACAGCTAGCCCTGTCTTTTTATTACATCTGCTCCTCAATTAATGACCTTCCTGTTGATCTACCACTCAGATTTATGACCAGTTCTCCAGCATGGGGAAAAATTCTGTGTGAGTCTTGAGAGAATCCCCTTTCTCAATCTTTTTCTCATTAGTAGATGGTTACAGTTTACTACATGAAGTGTTCACAGTCACGCAGCACTACATATTTCATTTATAAATTTGTACTTTATTGTGTACCCATAGTAGTATTCAGAATAAATAAAAATGATTACACCAGATTTATATTACTGTGTTATGGTATGTCTTTTTGCTTTCTGGGGCTTACCTAATGTAAATAGATGTAAATTTTTGTGTAAATAGAATTACATTATTCTAGTGTGGTATCACATGATACCTTGTGAAAGGTAAATACCCAGTGGCACCACAGCACATCACAAGACATCTGCCTCTAAGCGCCTCTGTTATCGACCGATTTGCTAATGACCTAGTTATAGGAATGGAACTCGATCATTAAGTCAGGAGTACCTGTATAAAGTTGAGAGTTCTCTTTATATCTGCTGCAGGTTTCCTGTTAGGTGTATGATTACAACTTTTAAAATTTAAACTGGTATTTATTTACTTATTATTTTTTAAATTTAAATTTGCTACAGAGTGCATGTGCTTGCCAGAGAGAGAGAGAGAGAGAGAGAGAAAGTGAGAAATTCCCTCTTGTGGAATGGCCATTATGCCATTCTTTCTCCTCCATTTTCTTCTTGGGATTTTGGGCGCACACATTGTTTTTCCAAGTCATGGGGTCTGGGACTTAAACTGTGCTGTTGGCCATGTGGGATTTGATTCAGGTGCCTTAACTACTACACCACCTAGCTGGCCCAAGTGTTGGATTTTTGTCAAATGCTTTTTTTGAAACAAATTACTTAAAAAACAAACAAACAAAAACAAAACAAAACAAACGTATTTTTTCTCATTTTTTTTTTCCTCATTTGCAGAACTTGACTTACATACCAAATGTGTGGTGGATGTTGAAGCAAACAAGGTTATTCTGAGTCCTATGAATACTAATCTTTCCAAAGGAGATGCCCGGTAAGTTAAGAAACTGTTATACTAAATGGATTTTTAAATAAGCAGAAGCAGCAGTGGCTACTGAATTTGAGTTTAATTGAACACTGAATGCTTATATTGTAGAGACGTCATACTATCTTCTACGAGTCTGTACTCTGGTTGATGAATGAGGTCTATAATATGGAAAGAAAGTGCAAGAATAAGTGTTTTATTTATTTATTTTTCTCCCATATGATGTGTGCACTCCTTGGAGAGAGCCAGAGAGCCGGAGAGAGAGATAGTAAGAAATTACTTTTTCCCCAGAGGGGATATGCCACATAACACTCTATTCTTCATTTATAAATTTGTACTTTATTGTGTACCCATAGTAGTATTCAGAATAAATAAAAATGATTACACCAGATTTATATTACTGTGTTATGGTATGTCTTTTTGCTTTCTGGGGCTTACCTAATGTAAATAGATGTAAATTTTTGTGTAAATAGAATTACATTATTCTAGTGTGGTATCACATGATACCTTGTGAAAGGTAAATACCCAGTGGCACCACAGCACATCACAAGACATCTGCCTCTAAGCGCCTCTGTTATCGACCGATTTGCTAATGACCTAGTTATAGGAATGGAACTCGATCATTAAGTCAGGAGTACCTGTATAAAGTTGAGAGTTCTCTTTATATCTGCTGCAGGTTTCCTGTTAGGTGTATGATTACAACTTTTAAAATTTAAACTGGTATTTATTTACTTATTATTTTTTAAATTTAAATTTGCTACAGAGTGCATGTGCTTGCCAGAGAGAGAGAGAGAGAGAGAAAGTGAGAAATTCCCTCTTGTGGAATGGCCATTATGCCATTCTTTCTCCTCCATTTTCTTCTTGGGATTTTGGGCGCACACATTGTTTTTCCAAGTCATGGGGTCTGGGACTTAAACTGTGCTGTTGGCCATGTGGGATTTGATTCAGGTGCCTTAACTACTACACCACCTAGCTGGCCCAAGTGTTGGATTTTTGTCAAATGCTTTTTTTGAAACAAATTACTTAAAAAACAAACAAACAAAAACAAAACAAAACAAACGTATTTTTTCTCATTTTTTTTTCCTCATTTGCAGAACTTGACTTACATACCAAATGTGTGGTGGATGTTGAAGCAAACAAGGTTATTCTGAGTCCTATGAATACTAATCTTTCCAAAGGAGATGCCCGGTAAGTTAAGAAACTGTTATACTAAATGGATTTTTAAATAAGCAGAAGCAGCAGTGGCTACTGAATTTGAGTTTAATTGAACACTGAATGCTTATATTGTAGAGACGTCATACTATCTTCTACGAGTCTGTACTCTGGTTGATGAATGAGGTCTATAATATGGAAAGAAAGTGCAAGAATAAGTGTTTTATTTATTTATTTTTCTCCCATATGATGTGTGCACTCCTTGGAGAGAGCCAGAGAGCCGGAGAGAGAGATAGTAAGAAATTACTTTTTCCCCAGAGGGGATATGCCACATAACACTCTATTCTCCTCCATTCTCCTCTTGGAATTTGGGCAAGAGTGCATACTCAATGTGATTTTCAAGTTGCCGTCTCTGGGACTCGAACTTTGATCGACCATGTGGGAGTCTAGTTTCTTAACCATCATTCCATCTGCTGGCCCCTGAATGAGTGTTTTAGATAGTAATTATATTAGAACCTTTGAGAAGAGTGTCAGGTTGTAAAGTAATGAGGAAGGGTACTTGAAGGAAATGGTGCTGGTTAGAGGTTTAGGGAAGATGGAAATAGGAAGGAGGTAGAAGAGAAGTCTTTTAGGCTGTTTCTTCGTGTAGGTAGCTTTTACTTCTGCTGATTCAAGTCCTGTCTATCAGAGCCCATTTAAGTGCAAAATACTTTCATGAAGGCATTTCTGTAGCCTCTACAGTACCTGTCCGCAATATTCTGTACTATGTAATTCAACTATTACATATTGTTTTGGTTTATTACTTTTAACGCTATAGAAATTTGAAAAGTTTTATTATTATTTTATTTATTATTATTATTATTATTTTAAATTTGATCAGAAAGAGACAGGGAAAGCGAGAAAGCAAGCCACCAGGTCCAAGACTGGAACCATGGTTGACCAGTACCCTAACCATCATGTCACTTGCTGACCTTAATTTTTTTTTTAAGAAGTATTTTTTGAATTTATTTATTTAAAATTGACCAAAGAGAGACAGAGTGAGAGAGAGCGAGAGGGACGGAAAGTGAAAAAGCATACTTTTAAAATAATAGTTTATTTATATTCATATTAATTTTTCATATACTTCTGAAAATGTCATAGTAATCTGTTGTTTCTGTTTATTAAAACTAATTGAAACTAAGGTTAAATGAATAGGTAAACCATTTCAAGTTTAAACATTAATTTGTAGAGATTTAGGAAACAATTTGTTGTATTATAATGGAATTTCAAACTGTTTTGAAAAATAAGATGTTTAAAATTTAGAAAATTGGCAGGACAAGGTGAACAAGAGATTAAGAACAATGACTTTGGAGCCAGGCATCCTAGGGTATATTTCAATTCCACTGCTTAACATGTGTGACTCTGAGAAGGTTACTTAATTCTCCTCTGCCTCAGTTTACTCATTTGTGATGTGGAGATTATAATAAAATTGCCTCTAGTGTGTTAGAGGAGAAAACGAGTTAAAATGTGTCAAGTGGTGGTGTGTGGTTCACAATACAGTCTGCGTAATGTTAGCAGTTACTTTCAGTATTACTGTTATTATCATAGCCTATATTTAAGTAGGAGTCCCTGTTATCTTCTGTGAGCTGTAATATGACTTTGTAAAGATAGTAAACTTTTTGAAACCAAATATATTCAAATTAGTAGCTTTTTATACATGCCTGTGAGAAATGACCAAATCCCATGGACATTTTAGCTTTTGCAAAGTTAGGAACTTTATTTATTTGGCTTGCCCAATGTGTATTGGACTTTTAAGGACTAATGGTCTATCTCATAAAGAGACAGGACTCCTGGACCAGTAGATGGCATGGAGGATTAAGAAGCTGGATCCAACATGGCTGTCTGGTTCCAGTCCTGGATCCAGCAGCTTGAGAATCATGCCAGGTAATATTGCAGGCCCAGCATCCCGAGAAGAGAATAGAGGAGGAGGGTTTTGTCACTTTCCCTCTCTGTCCCCCCTCTCTGTCTCTCTCCAGTGAGCACGTGTACCCTATGGCCAAAAAATGTAAAGAAAACCAGAAAAAAAAACAAAAAACAAAAAACCAGAGACAAGACCGAAAAAAAAAACAAAAAACAAAACAAAACCAGAGACAAAATTCCTAAATTTTTGTTTTACATCGACTAAAGTATCGATTTCTGCAGTCCTGGCTTCCTAATATCAACTGACTTGGACAACCAGGTCAAAACATTGTTTGAGAACAATGATGGTAGGGTCAGAACAAAGAAAGAGTTTATCAATTATGGAAGAGATTAAAGATGAACTCACATTCAACTTGGAACACTCTAGTGACTGAAATACTTGAATCCACCAGTTGGGCCTTTTTTTATACACAGTGCTGGATAAACGCCAAGACATTTTATCTATTTATCTTCTCATGCTTATGCTACTACTGCAATTAAATATCTTTGTGCAATTATCTTTTTTGCCTGAATCAGTTTATTTTTCTTGATTGGTCCTTGTGGTTTTCCCAGCAACATATTTACAAAGCATCTTTTAGGGCTAATAGATGACTAGCTCACTGTCTGACTTGTACAAGTAGAATTCTCACTGTGTAATTTGTATCTTAGCATTTTGGAGCACCTTATTATGAGTCACCAATGTAATCAGTTACAACAATACCATGAGGTAGAATGTCATTTCTTCAATAACCAAATAAATCTTTAGGCCTTGTTTTGGGGATTTTATCTTAAATCTCTATAAAATTTGTATTCTAAAATAAAACATTTATGCTAGTTTTTATCATCATGGTTGGGCGAGATAGTTTCTTAAAGGACTGAGTGTTTTTTGTTTAAGGAATTATTTAACTTTATTTATTTATTTATTTATTTATTTACCGCAGGGGGCCCCCCCCCCCCCCACACACACACACACAGAGAGAGAGAGAGAGAGAGGGAGAGAGAGAGAAAGAGAGAGAAAGAGAAAGCAAGCTGCCAGATCTGAGACTTGAACCATGGTCGGCTATGTGGGATTCCAGTGTCCTTAACCATCATGCCACCTGCCGACCCCAAGGGCTGAGTTTTATCTTCTGTCTTTTGTTTATTTTTTTCTACTTATCAGACAGGCCTTTCCTGTTAACTCTGGTGAAAAGTTAATTGATATACTTAAAATGTTGTTTTAAAGGGGATTAAGGTGTATTTTCTCATGGAGAGTGGTAGCCTCCTCTTTGTGAATCATTTGTGTTAGAGAAGTTGATGTATAGGTGAGTTTGGAAAATGGAATGCATTGTCCCATAGGAACTGTCAGTTGTTTCAAGGAAAAATGGCATTTTTGTTAGACAGTGAGTAGTTTAATCCACAACTCACACAATCACATGTTTTATTCTTTGGTATACAGCCAAAGTGCTTCATCCTTCTTCCCATTTCGCCACACATAATAGTAAAAAGATGTGGACTGAAGTGCCAGAATGAATAAAATGAATATTTGTACTGCTTTATTGACGGCATTCCGATTTTCCTCTGTGAGTGTGTGAGGAAGACTGCCATGACTGCTAGCATACTTTGGTGTCATTGTGTCTAAGTGCCAGCAGTTTTACCCACCATTATTTTTGCACCCAGTGCAAATGTCAACACAGTAAGTAAGGCAAATGTTACAGTATTATTTTGAAAATAATTTTGATCACCAGACCTTCTATTTTTAAAGTTTTTCTTTTCCTTTCTTTTTTTAGTTTTGCTATAGGCTGAGTGTGCTCGCTGGACAGAAACAGAGAGAGAGAAAGTGAGAAATCAGTCTCGGGAGGGAATGACCACTGTGATCTCTTCTCCAGTCTCCTTTTGGGATTTTGGGCACACATGCTCACATGCCTGGTGTGATGTTCAAGCTGCTAGGTCTGGAACTAGAATTGTGCAGTCAGCCATGTGGGATCCAGCTGCCTTAATTTCCATGCCACCTGCTGTCCTAACTTCCAGGTCTTCTGAAAAGTTCTAGTGAATTTCCAGGAGTCTTCAGACCATAATATGAGAACCATTGCTTTAAGGATCTTATACAGTGTATAAGCTCTCAGAGCCAGATCAATGTCTTTGGTTTGTTTACTTTCTATGAGTGTGCGTGTGCTTGCATACTCATGAGCCCATATGCGTGGGAGGGAGAGAAAGAGACGAATGTTTTTATAGTCTTGCCATGTCATGATCTTCCTGTTTCAGCCTACCTGGTAGTTTGCCAGGATCATAGGTATGCACGCCACACCTGGCTGCTTATAAGTTGGGCTGGGAACTGGACCTGGGCTCCCATGTGTTCTTAGCCGTCTCATACTGGCACCCTCTTGCTTGTGCCACTGTGACTGGTCTTAATTTATTTTTATTTTGCAATAAGGTGCATGCACACACCGGAGAGAGGGAGGGAGGGAGGAAGGAAAGGAAGGAAAAAGAAAGAAATCACTCCTCAGGGGGGTGTCCCTACCACAGTCCCTTATCTTCCGTTCTCCTCTTGGGACTTTGGGTATGCGCACACATGTGCCTGGTGTGATTTTCAAGCAGCCAGGTCTAGGACTTGAACTGTGCAGTCGGCTGTGTGGGAATCCAGTGCCTTAGCCACCATGCCACCTGCTGGCATGGGCCTGTTTATTATTATTTTTTAAAGAATTATTTTATTGGGCTGGCAGGTGGTATGGTGTTTAAAGGCACTGGATTCCCATGTAGATGACCATGGTTTGAGTCCCGGACCTGGAGGCTTGCTTTCTAATTCTCTTTCTGATCAAACTGGAAAATAATAAATAAATAAATAAATAAATAAATAAATAAATAAATACATTTAAATGAAAAAGTTACATAAAATATTTTAAAATTTAACTTTATTTATTTATTTAAATTTGACTAGAGAGGGACAGAGTGAGAGAGAGAGAGAGAGAGGGAGAGAAAGAGAGAGAGAGAGAAAGAGAGAGAGAGAAAGAGATAGAGAAAGTAGGAAATTGGGAAAGCAAGTTGCCAAGTCTGGGAATCAAACCATGATTAACCATGTGGGAGTCCAGCACTCTTAACCACCATGCCACTTGCTGGCCCCG